GATATAGTTCACAACATATACGGAATAAAAAATTGGTCGTCGAAATCTATTCATATCTATCAGTACGAATGAAGTCCAAGTATCAAGTCCATATTTTCTATATGCTAACCGTATATCTTGAGTAAAGTAGTTTAGTGCACGTGTTGTGGTACATAAATGTGTGCACCATAGATACTCAGTGTTCTATCACGTGGAGTGTACCTAATGATCGACACGAGGGAAAGATAAATCTAGTTTTTTTTGCACTGAAATTCGATTAGTTGAAATTTCAATCAATCAGAAGCTCCGAATAATTTTTCATCTATAGAAATTAATAAAAGAAATTAATAATAGAATATCAATAAAAATAAATCATTGTAATATTAAATAAAAATTTTGATGTCATCTATCTAATATCTTCAATCAAGTGAATACACCACAACATTGAGTCATCATTATATCAGTGTTGTTCATGTTTACTTAGTCATTGGAAGCGTCATTACTTCTTAATCAGTGGGTTATGTCATTAGTTATCTGCTTCATTTTATTTCTCATCTATTTAAGTAACAAGTTATTATGTTTTATTTCTTTGATTCTTTTCATTGGATAATCCGATAAGAATTATTGTATTTTGTAACATTCCAAAGTTCATTAACCTACTTTCAGATATAAAAAAAAACAACACATAAATCATGAGTTTTCAATGGACTTTTCTGGCGACATTTCTCTATTGTGAAATTGTCGTTGTTATTATTCTACTTTTGCCATTTATTTCACCAGTAACGTGAGTATTTATTTCGATTTGAAAGATTATTTAAAAAAATAAATAATTTTATTTATTTTCTATAGTTGGCGAAAATTTTTTAAGTCAAGATTTGCACAAGCATTTACAGCTGGAGCGAAATATTATTTTAATTTTATAATATGTATATTCGGTTTATTATTTCTCGGTAGAAAAAAACAAAAAAAGTTTATCTTTCATAGGGTCTATCTTAATATTTCTGATTTATTTAGATTCAATTCGTGAATTAAGAAAATATTCTACAGTTGAAGCGAAAGATTTATCAACACCACATGGTGAAGCACATGCACATATGAAACAATTTCGTTCACAAAGAAATTTTTATATTGCTGGTTTTGCTCTTTTTCTTTGGTTGTACGTAAAAAAAAAACGCAATCTTTCATTTTCGACAAGAGTATTCATAAAATCATTTTAGTGTGATTAAACGTTTAATTACTCTTTTATCGGATGTTGCACGTCAAATGGCTGATTCAGCTGCAGCACGTAAACAAGCTGAAGGTGCTCATCGTCATTTAGAAGGACTTATGACAAATGATCAATCAGTAAGATTTTATTTTATTTGTTTAAAAAATTTCAATTCTTTCTTTCGTTGAAAGAAACTTGATCCTCGAGAAATTCCAGTTTCACCAGATGAATCGTCACGTTTTATTGATCCAAAAAAACATGATGCTGAAATCGAAAAATATAAACAAGGTTTGTTAAATAGAAAAAAAAAAAGAATTTTAATTTTTTTCATTCTATTATTTAGAAATACTGAAAGCAAGTGAAGATATTGATACATTACGTGAACAATACGATAATTCAATTAAAGACTATGATAAACTTTGTGAAGAACATCAGAAGTTACAAGTAAATTCGATGACATTGATTTTTATCAATTGGAATTTTATCTTTAATTTCTTTTCAGAATAAATTGGCTGTTTTGTCAGAAAATGAATCAGCAAAGGACAAATAAACAAATACAGACGTTTACACATATAAACAATCTATTTCTGATTTTCTTTTTGTTTTGTATTTTTTGGTTGAGTACACACTCTCATGACTAGAAATCCCAGCTTATATTAGTGTATCACTTTAACATTCTCCCAATTTTTGCCGTGTGTAGTTCTTTTGTTTTTTTTCATTTATCCAAGCAATGCGCGTTGTCATACATATATAAATAAGTTAAATAAACTATTCGAGATATCATATATTCAATTATTCTTTCGTTTATTATTAAAAAAAAAATCTTCTAGACGTGTATTAAAAAGTAAAAACTAATCATGTCTGACGTAGCAAGTGAAACAACAGCAGCAAAAATGACATTAAAAAATGTGAATCCAATCAAAGATTTTCTGGCTGGTGGTGTTGGTGGTGCTTGTCTTGTTATTACAGGTCATCCATTAGATACAATTAAAGTAAGTTTAAAATATGAAGATATTTCAATAATAAATATTTGATTAAAATCAAAAGGTTCGATTACAAACACAACCAAAACCACAACCTGGACAGGTACCATTATATAGAGGAACTTGGGATTGTGCAAAAAAAACTGTTGTAAAAGAAGTAAAAATTATTCAAAATAAAATATTAAGATAATTAAGCTTGTTTCCAATTTATACAGGGTTTTACTGGTTTATATAAAGGCATGGGTGCACCACTTGTGGGTATGTTCTTACGATAGAACATTGTCAACTGATACTTTCCATTCGAGTTCATAGTTTTCTCTCATAACTGAAACTCTGTGACATTAGAAGAAACATAAAAAGATTCGTCCTATCACGTCTTTCTGCTATAGTTATGATCGTTTTACTGAAATTTTCAGCTGCTAACAGAGTATTCATTAAACAATCAAACGAAAGAATTTTGATGTGAAATTTGGCTAATGTTGAAAAATAGTCGATTTTGTGATCTTGTTTATGGAATACGATCATGTTTTAAACATTCAATCTGTCAAGAAACAAGCATCCGCTTTGACTGAAAATTTTAAAGCATTCTAACTGTTATAGAGCCTTATGGGAAAAATATGAACTTGAACGGAGAGCGCGTGTGGGGAATATTCCTTAGTTATTTTAGAAAATTAGATTTTATTTTGTTTTTAAATAAAAAGGTGTTACACCCATGTTTGCTATTTGTTTTTTTGGATATGGTATTGGAAAAAAATTACAAACACCATCTGCTGCAAATGGTGATTATACGTAAGTAGTTTAATTTAGTTGTTTTTTTTTTATTGTAAATGACAGCATTTATGATTAGTTTATCACAAATATTTGCGGCTGGTATGTTGTCTGGAGTTTTTACAACTGTGATAATGGCACCGGGTGAAAGAATTAAATGTTTGTTACAAGTAAGAATATAAATTTATTCAGATTTGATAAAAATTACTCAAAAAAAAAACTATAGATCCAACATTCGGGTCATGAACATAAATATAATGGACCGGTAGATTGTGCTAAACAATTATATAGAGAAGGTGGCATTCGAAGTATCTATCGAGGAACAGCTTTAACACTAATGAGAGGTAAAAATAAAACTTTTATATAATGTGTTACTTAAATAATATAAACTTAATATTTAGATGTACCTGCATCAGGTATTTATTTTGCTTCATACGAATTCTTAAAGAGATCATTGACACCTGAAGGACGTTCGTAAGTATAAATTAAATACATCTATACGTATATATATATACATATAAATTCTTTTATTTAACTCAGAACTAGTGAATTGAGTGCATTGAAAACATTATTTGCTGGTGGAATGGCTGGTATGTGTAACTGGGTTGTAGCCATTCCTCCTGATGTACTTAAATCACGATTTCAAACAGGTTTGTTTTGATTTTTGTAATTATTTATTTTCTTTTTAAATTTCATTTATTTAAATAAATAGCTCCAGCAGGCAAATATGCGGGTATAGCTGATGTTTTACGAGAACTAATACGTACAGAAGGCATTGGATCACTTTATAAAGGCATTGTACCTGTTATGCTACGAGCTTTTCCAGCTAATGCTGCATGTTTTCTTGGTTATGAATTAACAATCAAATTTCTTAATCGTATATGGCCAAATTGGTGAAAATGCAAACACATTTCTATACTTTTTTTTGTTTTGTTTTCCATTAACATTCAATCAATGGTTTGGGGTCGCTAATGTTAAAATTCTTTTTCTTTGTTATGTATCACTTATTTTTGAGTTATTATACGATTCTTAGAAAACAAAAAGATAGAAATCATTTCTCAATGAAATGTTTAGCTTAATTGTATTCTAATAAATATCCTTCATGAGGAAATCTTTTGAAATAAAATGATCAATGTTCAAGAAAACTAAATATGATGAACATGACAAATTAGATCTATATTAAAATGCATGAATTCAATGATAACTTTTTCATAGCTATTCAAAAACAAACATTCGATTGTTCTTTTTTTTCTAAAACTTAATAATCAATAGAATGAAGATGATATTTTAGTCATATGACAGAGACAGATAGAAGTGTCTCATGTTCTTGCTCAAGCTTACGCGCTGCGTACGCCTTGTTCTTTTCTTGCTCAATGAATACGTTTCGAAAGCACGAAATCGTTTCTTTGGTGTTCTTAGAGTACGAATAGCTCAATAAACATTTGCACAACGTTGTATAGACGTGTGCTAGAGCACGGAACAGACCCGTTCGGAGGTTTTAATCAGCTGGGTCGGACTGAAGAAAGCTGGCTTATGGGTTATCGACTTTTGATCTGACTCAGTCCATGGATCATTCCTGTAATTGCATTAAATAAACTTTTAATACATGGATGATCAAGCATATTTCGAATATCAGTAGTTGATATACAAAACAAATGTTCGTTAACACATTTAATAATATGCAAAACGTTCAATTTCTCTTTTTTTGTTTTTTTGTTTAGTTGACAAATTAATAACTTTCCCTTATTTCTATTTATTGCAAATAAAACGATGCAAATGTTTGTCATTGTTATGTTAGTCAATGATGTATCATCAAAATATTCAAAATCTTTTATCAAATAGCTTAGATAGATGTTCAAATAAAATGAATTTGATTTTCTAATTGTTTTTATTTAATTTATATGGACAAAAAAAAATCTTATACAACAAATTCATTGAAATAGTCACATAGATTTATTTATCTGATAAAATTCTCTTATTTTTTTGTGGCATTTCACAATTGATTATAAGATTTAATAACTTGTTCAATTTGTACAAAACTATTAAGAAATTCTTGTTCATCAATATCATATTTATAATAATGATGAAGATAAGCTTTTTGTCCAAATAATTGCCATGATTTGTTTACTATTCTATCAAGTGCTGATACAGGTGTTTGACAATTACTAATCAATGATAAATATTTTTCATAATTTAAATAAGATTTATCACGATAATTAAATAAATAATAATAATCAGATGATGAAATAAATGATGAATAAAATGTTTCATGATTAAAATATTGTTTTAAATCTTTATCAATATCTTCTTTATCATAAGAACGTGCTAAAAATAAATTTGCTATAGATTTTGTTCGTGTTTGATTTGGTTTTAATAACCAATTAAGTCTTTCATCTAAATAAGAATTATTAATATACATTTGTGATAAAGTTTTTATTAATGATGACCAATTGTATGTACTAAAATCTAATGCTTGATCACTTAATTGTGGTACACAACGAAGTGTTAATAATTTATAAAATGAATGTGGTAAAACTGATTCTAATAGATAATTTATTTCACATATTGATATAGTTTTATTTGAAATAGGTTGAAGAAAACTACATAAATGTCGTGTTAAAATATTATTCATATCATGAATATTTGTTGGACGATCAATACCAGAATATGAGACAAGTTTTTTTGCATATTGTTGAAGAATATCATTTTCAAAAACTAATAATGCATCAGCAGAATGATAAAGATGTGAAAGTGTTAATAATGAATTATAGTTTTGTACTACAACTTCACCACTTGTATATGGAACAACAATTGTTGTTAAAAGAAATGAACGTGGTAATTCATCACGAACACATTCAACAACATACGCACCAAGACCAGAACCTAAGTGAAAGATTATTTTAATAGAAAATGAATTTTCTTTTTCTTTTTCTTTTTTTACCTGTGCCACCAGCTAAAGAAAGTATGGGTAAAATTGTATCCACTCGATCAGCATGTTCTAATTGCCATCGAAGACTATTTAATATATTTTCCTCAGCTAATGAACCATTTCGATAACCACATGCCCAATTATTGCCGGATCCGAGACGACCTTTTTTTTCAAATTATCGATAAACTATAAGATATGAATTTAAATTATTCTTTCGAAAATATCTCTGATATATGTTTAATTAGTATGAATAGTTATAGTTCTTTCGTCTCAAATTCAGATTAAATTTTCTATGGTTTTTTTGCTCTTTTGTAATAAAAGATATTTATTATATATTATGACTATGGTCATATAGAGGCTAAAATCCGCTACAATCAAACCTATTTTATAAGGCGACAGCTGTTAACAAATCAAGGTGATGACTTATTTCATATATATGGTTCACTTGTCTTATCTTGACTTTTTTTTAATGTCACTGTGATGTTTTTCATGTATTTTTCTTGTTTCAATATTGACTTATTCACAGTAGATATCGTCTGCCAATAGTGATCTAATGAATTGTTCTTATTCGAGTATTTATAAAAAAAATAGTCATTGATTTACAAATCGAATGTTCACTAGTGACGGTGCTCAGCGTGGCGACTATTAGTTGAGATGACCAGAACAAAAAACATATTTACTTCATTGATAGTAGGACAGCTTATTAACCATGATTCTTTGGCAAAGGAACCTATACATCATGTTAAGAATGCAAAGAATTACTGAGAAGTCGACAAAAACGCAGAAGATGAAAATATTAATATTAATATAAAAGCAGACGATAACAGCGGATATCTTTCATTAAACACGAATAGGAGAAACAGTACTTCGGCACTTAATTCTTAGAGTACTTGATAGACATTAAAGATATTACTTTTCTATATAAATCCGTTGTCATCTATATGAAAATATATAAATTTGAAAAGCTTGTGTTATACTTTTCTGCATACACATTTTCATTTTTTGCATAAACCTAATTCGATGATCTATTAGTAATATTATACGATCATATATAGTCTATAGTGTCCTCTAGCAAATATCCAACTATAATAAACGAATAATAAAAATTCGTTTCAGAAAAAATGATTACATAAATTATTCCTCAAACTGAATTCAAGAGCAAAGGATTATAATTATTATCTACTAAAATAATATTCAACTCATCAATCATGAATCATTCTAGAATTATTCTTTCTTTCAAGAAACTTTTACGAATAGAATAAATTAATTCAAACTATAAAAATTGATCAGTTTAGTTTTTGTGCTTGATTTTTACTTGATATAGTCAAGAGTAAAACTAATATCATTCCGATCAATTTAAGATTTTTGCTAGATTTCTAATCAATATAGTCGTATTTAGAGCAAAAAATGAATTAGTTCATACTTCTAAAACTTGTTGAAAATCAAACAGCTTTTTTTTCTAAAGGATTTCTTATCTTTTGGTTTTTTACATAAAATACAAATACCCTTTGGATAGAATCTCTTATGTCGTGAATAACTTTACATGCTGACTGCTGAAGGAATAACCTCATATATTTCATCATTTTTGAACTAATGATCTCTATCAGAGGATATCGATAGATTAAAAACTTTAGTATCTTGTAAATACAATATCCTAAAAACTATTAAAATTGTAATATGAACTACTCTATCTGAAGAATCTTCATTTGTACATAATTTCATGTCGAAATTTGAAAATATAGTTTTCTCATAAAGTCGCAGCAGTCTGTACACGAAAAATTTACTAATAATTCGATATTTCAATCAAAATGCATCGGAAATCTCCATTCTGTTCAAACTATTCTAGTTTCCGGAACTTCTCCATGTAATCATAATATTAGTTCAAAAGCGATAGATCACTTTAGATAGTTCTTTCATAAATCGAAATGGAAGAATTTTTACTGCTGATAAATTCAAATAATCTCATCTGTTCTTTCACTTTTTTAAGGTATCTTTTTATTATTACAAAGATGATTGTCATTTAATTTATGTTTATCTTAAATTGAAAGAAAAAAATTTCTTCCATTAAAATTCTACCTTCAATAACACATTTTTTTTCATAAGACCAATGACGTTTTGATTGAGATTTTTCATTCATTAATTGTTCAATTACTTTAAGTTCAGTATCAATAACAAGTGCTCGTGCAGTAAGTTTATTTTCATATTGAATAAAAAATCGATCAAGTGAATGTCGAATATAATCATTAATTGATGAATCATTTGTTATTGATAATTTTGTTTGATTTGAATGTGTAAGATTATCTTCAATTAATGTATCAAATACACATTGACCAACTTGATTTCCACATTGACCAAGTTGAAGAATAATGCATGACATCTGAAACAAATAACAAGAGCAAGAAAGAAAAATTATTGATTTTCTTTTTTTCTTTTTTCTTTTTCTTTTATTTTTAATCATCCATTTCAAATTCAGCTAGAAAATTTTTTCCTTCGGCTTTTTCAGCTAAATAACGTTCGTAAACTTTTGGAATCTTTTTAAATTTTTCGATTTTTCTTTCAAGTTGTCGTGCTGTTAATTGATAATCATTGTGATGATCACGAGCCATGGCTTCATAATTTATATCATGTTTTTCAATCATATAAATACAAAATCTATATAAATAACAATAGAAAAAATATTTAATTAATTTTCAATAAAAAAAAAACATACAATCGATCTGGATCAGAAATTCTCAATGATTTAACACGTTCTGTATTTGCATCTTTTTCAAGTTCATCTCGAATATGAACTTTAGTTGGTCGACGTTTTTTCTTTTGTTTTGTTGAATCAATTATTGGTAAAGGTAGGCAATCATTATCATCATCATTATCAGAATTTTCTTCTTTTTGTTTAATATATTTTTTAAGAGTTTTTGGATTAATTAAATCTTTTGTTTGTGGTATAGGAAACGATTTTTTTATATCATGAACAAGTGCAAATTCATGATAATTTGTTGGTACCGAATGTTTTAATTCCCAATTTGAACGTATCAATGGACAATGACGTACACGTACTTCACGTTTACGTTTTTCTTTTAACCATAATCGTTTACGATTGATTCCATGTAAATAAACTTTGCCACGTTTACGACGACGTGTTTGTACCATTGTGACTGATCTAAAATATGATGAAAAAAATAGAGGTCTTCGTTAATAAACTAAGATTCAATTGAATGATTGATCTATCATGTACACATGACATTATATATATGGTTGAGATAATCTACACACACTTCGACGTACACACACAAAATCGCCATTGCATTAAAATGACACATAACCTCTACATATGAAAGAGGGCGTTTCGTGTCGCGAACGAAAGATATAAGTTTTATATATATTATCGTTTGAATAAAATAAAAAAGCGAATATAAAAATGTTTTCATTTTTTGGATTTCGATGTGATATGAATACAATCTATCACAAATAATAAGATATTAACAATGAAATATATAAGTACCGACCTGTTTAAATAATTTTTTTGTCGAATTGCAGCGCACATAAAATAGTATTTCATTTATTATAAATGAATAAAAACTAGTAAATATTATTTTTTCTCGTTTATCATATTCTATTTTATGATTTAAAACAATTTTTCTAATACAATATCAATTAAAAATCAGTTCATTATCAGAAATAGTCTCTTGTTCTTGTAAACAATGTATAATCTATTACATCCAATTTCTTTTAGTTCCGGTAATTAGACTACTCATAATTTTTAACCTATGTGCACCAAGTCTTTGCGCAAAATTACCATTCAATGTTCAACTGATTTTAAGCAACTGAAGAGAAAAAAGTAGTCAGCTAGACTGAGTATTTCATTCCTCTGTCTCTCTATATATATTCAGATTTCTTTTTGATTTAGATTACAGCATTAAGAACAAATATTTAGAAGGATCTAAAACGATGTCTGTGCAAAATTGTAAACTAGCAGGTCTTTATATATGCATCTACTTATGTTTCGAATGTCTAGTTGCCATTAAAGATAATCAAAACGAACTAATTAAAATCAGAATTTATTTTCTAGTATGCATATGTCCAGAATTTTTATCCCACCTCAGTCTACTCAACGGTGAACAAATATCTGAGTAGTTTAAAGATGTTACTTTCATCAAATTACTTGAGAGGAATAGGGAGAGTCACGTTTTCGCGAAGTAAATTTTTTTTTTACTATGGAGAGTTCTCCTGTAGAAAACACTTGGCTACACTCCTACACAAAATATAAATAAAAAAAACATTTCAACATTTTGTTCTGTTTGTTACTGTTCGTACACAACATAGGAATTCTTTCTATCTGTTGTTTTCTCAAACGGTTCAAAGTAATTGAATCGGTTGCAACTAATTTGAATAGATGATGATATATTTTAATGGTGATATCATTCTTGATGATACTGACTGATAGTCGGGGGAAGCTGGAATTCTTTTTCTTTTTGCAATTATTATTTCAAAACGATAATTTTCATAGCAGTTTTATATTCAATTTATAAATATTTATTTCCTATTGCTTTCCATTTGTGTATAAGAACATAGAAAAAAAGATTCAGTGGATGTACCGTTATTATAGGGAAAGAGTTAACAAGTAATAGAATTATCTATGTTGAATAAAATCCTTAAAATTCTTTCCTTCAGCCATGACATAGTTTAGAAAACTATAAAAGAGTGCAAGAAAATCTGCGAAAGAAGAATTATCAAGAAGTGATACATCGGTAACAATATGTGTACTTGGCACAATCAAGAGCAGAGCATACAAGTAAAGCAAAATTCCAGAAAAATGTATTATATCTTGTAACAGTTAATTAAGAAGGAAACAAAGTTTTCCTTTCTAATACATTTTTTTTTAAAATTTCTAGGCATGCAGAATCTCCTCGTTTGCTCGTTTGCGTCAACGCGCGTTGGGGAAAATTTTTTGAGTTTGGGAAACTTTTTGAAAAACTATTGACTGTAAAAAAATTTTTATTGTCGGTTCTATTGTGTGGAAATTAGGACACTATTTTCATGCACAGATTTAATGATTTAGTAAAAACCAAACGATATTTTTCATTTTAATAGCAGGGAACATTCTTAAAGAAGGTTTCTTCGTTGGGGAAAATTTCCACTTTTATGGCACATTCTGCATCTCTAAAACTTCCCCAGCCTGACAATTTTCCAAAACTTTCCCATTCTAGCAGTTTTCCAAAATTTCCTTGAGTAATGCAAGTTTCCTAAAAATCTCCTCCCCCCGGGGGGGGGGGGGGAGGCCGCACAAGGAAGATTCTGCACCTCTGATCCAGAAATTTATGAACGTCTTCAATCAAAACTTGATCGTTTTCAATCATCAACTGCTTCGAAAATAATAACAGATTCAACATTTGATATGTATGGTGATAGTGATATTTCTTCATCTGTAACTCTGAACCAAATTCATCTTCAATTGACACGAATAGTAAAAAGGAATTTTTATTTTAAATAAAAGAAAAATGAATTTTAATTTTTGTGTTTTTTAGCTTCATCGACTATTCTTTGGGAACATATAACAAATGAAAATTTAACAGAAAGTCTTCAAGGTCCATTTACAACTGAACAAATGATTTGTTTAACAAATACCAAAGAAAAATTAGATAAAGATAATGTACGGTGCCGTCATGTGGTACAGAACAATTCTATTCAATGAAACGTATCGATTTTGATCTGTATTTCGATTAAAATTATTGGTTGTAAATAGATGGTTTTTTTCACTTCTCATGCATTCAATAAAAAAATACACCCCGACTATCTGAGATTATCTCCAATATGATCTTCATATATATAAGCAAATGCTCAATTCAGTCTTCCAACATTGTATGAAGAATCCAATGAAAGTCAGATGATAATTTGTTGTGTGGTAGATGAGCCATAAAATTTCATTAGGTTAGCATAATTATTTTTATTTTCGATATTGTACAAAATAAATAAAACTACAGCAATAGTGGCCACTATAATCTATGTGTACTTCATCTCAGACAAAGAGTTATTTACATCAGGGATGACATAGCTCATGGTGACGCCTTCTTATCATGCAAAATTTAACATCTAATTTTATTTTAAAAAAAGTAGTGTTTTTCGGTAGAGATCGATGAGTCGTAGTATTACATCATTGTATCCACAAACGATACTACCCTATCTTTCTGAAGAATACAGCTAAATCTATAGAAATGAATCATTGTCATAAATTTTTTGTCTTTTCAAATAGTCTGTAGAATATTATCAATATATCTCGTTTTCCAAGGATAAAGAGATGAATTTTTTAATTACTTCGATTGCTTTCGTTTTTATCACTATCAAATAATAGACTTGTATTCTTTCTGATAATATTGTCGGTTTTTCTCTTGAATCAGGACACCGATCCAATGTTTTCATCAATAAATTGATCATATTTAAAGGTAAAAATGTCTATGAGAAATAACATTAAAACTCGAGTCATATCTTCAACAAGAGAAACGAAAATTTAATCAAACTTCGACTATATCTTATCTTTCAAAAGTCATAAATAACTTTCGAATGAAGATATTAGATTCAATCCGAATAGAAACTATTAAAGTTATTTTTTCAGATTGAATTTATTATGAAATTGACTTTTATGCTGGCAAAAGACATTGTATTTTAGATAGTTTAGGCATAATAATTAATACAGAAAATCATTATATACTTTTTTGTTACTCATTAGAATAAAACAAATGAGTACTGTTTTTAATTCATGAATAGTTTGACAAATTCAAGATGTTCTCTCATCATCATAAAATGGTCATTTTCTGATAAGATTTCTTTCAAGATAATGATTATCTTAATTCAAATTGACTTTTCTATTTTATTTTATACATAATTTATTAATTAACATTACATTGTATGAAATATGCCTAACTTTGGAAAAAAGTTTATATGAGTACTATTGGGATAGGCCCATGGTTCAACAATAATAAGAGTTTCAACTTTTGAACAATTGTCTTTAACTTGTTGTTGATTTTGATTAATTATTGTTAACAATACATTATTACGAATGGCAAGTTCGATTAGACATGGAAGATAACTTCGATATAGAAGTTGTTCAGCATAATCCGCATGAATATCATGCAAAATAAGCGTTGCTAAATGACGAAATTCAATAGAATTATTTGTCGTCGTACTTTTTTCTTCTTGTTCAAGAAGATTGAATATTTCAAGTACTTTAAGATGAGGTAAAGCTTGTGCAACACGTTGAAAAAAACCATGTTCAAAAGGTTTGACATCATCAAAAAGTAATAATATAGTAACATTTGAAAATCTTTTTTCAACATCGAATAATGGAAATCGATTCGAAATAAAGTCGAGACGAGTACCAATAAATGGAAGAGAATAGGTTTGACATTGACCATATCGATTATTAAAATAATCAATTGTACAATCAATAGATTGTTGATATTGAAAAAAACTTTGGCGAATTTTATCGAGTTTTATATGAGCAGCATCTTTTAAAATTGAACGAATATGAAAATCAAACTGGCATAAATGAGGCATATATGAAATAATATCTCGTTGTAAGTCCAATCCATCAATAAAGTGATTTGGTCCATTTTCATTTTCACCGATAGCTAATAATAATGTTAAATGTTCGACACTTGATAAACGTTGTAAAAAAGGAATAATACATTGTTCATACTCGAAAATATTTCTATATATTGTCATTTTTAATTCTTTCAAATTAGGACAAGATATCTAAGTTAAATAAAAAATAATATAAAATTACACCAAAAAAATGACTTACCAATGATATTTGTGATAAATCTAATTCTTCAGATAGATAGACGTGCATCATGCTCACAACGAATGAATGTAATTGTGCTCCTATTTGATTCAATAAACGAACACAATCGCCGAATTGATGAAATGTAATACTAATATGAGTAAGATGAGATGTTTGAGGAAAGAACAATTTTTCATCACTTGATGGAATGGATATAACACAATCAGGGTCAAATTCAAACGAGGTAATTAATGACATTATTGATGAATGACAGTAGAATGAAAGTATATCAATAAGTTTCTGAGAAAGATAGAAAAATTGAGGTATGTCTGAGAATAGAGAATAACGCCGTACCTCGTTATCACTATAAAAGTCTAAAAATACACAAATCAAATAAGTTTTCGATCCATATAAATCCAAAAATTATGAAACTAATTTATCATCTGTTCATAGTATTCAAACATAAACATTATCTATTCATCTTAGATGAATTTTATTCATCATATTAAAAAGTGACATTGAAATTTCAGTAGTAGAATTTCTAGAAAAAAATTCATTTGAACGAAATCGAGATAAAACGATATTCAGCTGTTTGATTTTCTATACTGAAACTATGTTATAGAATCGAAAATATACTCAAACATAAATTCTCTTTCAATCATCAGGATTAGATTTCCAAAATCCTGAAATTATAAATTAAGTCGATTCTTGTCTAACGAGGTGTATATATTTAAATAAAAAGAGAACAATTATGTATAACTTACTTAATGTGATAGGTGTTCCTGTATTACGATGCAAACGGCCGGCCATTATTTTTAAATGCTTTAAATTATTGAGACAACTTTTATCATCAATTCTTTTAACAAGCTGATAAAGACTTGATATATGTACAAGATTGACTGTAAGTGATTCAATATAATTAAAAATACATGGTAAAGTAGATAATATGAATTCTCGAATAATCATTTCATATGGTGAACCAAAATAATCAGAGGTTAGATCGATCGAATGACATTGATCAAGAGCAAGTTGTTCCAAATGAATATTTTTGGTACCAATCATAGAATAGAGTAATACAGCTCGAGGTTGGATTTTATTCATAATGGATAAAATTATCTCATCTGGTAAGTCGAGCAAGCCGACAAGATTTTCTATACAAAACAATAGAACAAAATATTTATATTAATAAATAGTTAAATACTTGTGTTTGATAAGCAGGTCATTGTTTATTTGACGTATCGGTGAGAATATTGAACTTGTGCAAATTTATTTACATATATATAGAAGCCTTTCCGCTTCACGATTATTGTCTTGAAATGACCGTTAATAATAATCGGCCAAATTTCAGACCAAATACTGAAGCGATCAGAATGAATATGAATATGAATGGGTTATCATCGGTCTCAATCATATTCAAGTCATAGATAGCCAATCATATTCTGCTTTTTGATCGCTTCGCTTTAGTCAATGTCAATGTCGAATATCAAATGAACTTATGCACGCAGTTTGGATCAAATGTCAGAAAAAAAATCGAGAAAAAGGCATAAAAAGAGAAGGTATATTTAATGGACAGATTTTATTTTTGCAAAAGTTGAGTCCAACGAAATAATGGCGCTATACTACACGCACATTTTCATGATACTACAAGCAATTTTGTTAAGAGTAACCATCGTCGAGAAATTGACAATTCAAAGAATTCAATAATCATATATGAATTAGATATAAATAGCTTGAAATTACCATGGAATTCAATCAATTCAAGAAATTCAATAGAATTTCTTGAATTTCTTGATTTCAAAATTAATATCGATAGTGACGGTGAGGATATCTTTCTACCAAACATTTGAATGGAATTCAACGAATTCAAGAACAATTCAGGAATTTCATGGTAATGTCAAACTGTATATTTGTAAGTTATACAAGATGATTGAATTTATTGAATTCCTTGAATTGCCAATTGCTGGATCGTGGTTATAACTCAAATATCCAACATGTAAAGAATTAAAAAGGCAACAAAAAAATTGATTTATGGCTTTTACCAAAAGTTCGAATTGTCCAACTAAAACGTTTTAACTATAAATTAATTTACTTGTTGATTGTTCATTATGTGATTTAAATTTATCGCAATTTGTTCTAAATTCTGCTGAAAAAAACCAAAGGAAAATATGATTTAATTGGTGTTAGTAATCATATTGGTGGTTTAGATGGTGGATATTATACAGTACATGCAAAAACAAATATTAATGATTATAAATGCCATTCATTTGATGATTCATATGTATCAGATATTGATAAAAATAGTGTAGTAAGTAAAGCAGCTTATGTACTTATTTATCAACAAAAAGAGGAATCATCACAACAACAATAATAATAATGATCAGAAAGTGAATACGCCATTAAATGAAATGTTGATTTATATTTTTTTTGTTCATTATTGTTCTTGATGAAAGTTCTCATCGTTTGTCTTTTCTTTCGAATAACCGTGCTAATTCAATCAAGGCTTGCAAGAAAAAATTTTCATACTATTTTTTTTATATTCTTCCATTGACATTTATCTACTTAAAATTATTCCTGAACATCAATAATATTCTTTTTCTTTTAAATTACATCTGTTTGTTTACAGATTATTCAATATTAATGATCCAATAGCACGACGAGATCTTGATGATCATTTTTAAGAAATAATTCATTTTCAAATATTAGTACAACTTGTATAAATGATGCTTCACCAGCATCAAATAAACAACCATATAAATTTGGTGAAGGAAAGAAGAATTTTTATGTCCTACCTGATTCAACTGATTATAATCAAGATGCAAGATGTTCAGAATGTTTTACACAAGCATTACAAGCAATAATTTAATTTTTTTTGTTTTTAATCTTTACTATTCATGTATGATTAGATTTATCTGCCTGGTTCATTCAGACGATCATCAATCCGAAAAATTAAATTTGGTATTGTGATTTGTTGAAATTTTTAACAAAAAAGTTTTCATTAATATTATTTATTTCTAGTTATATGATCTAAATAATTTTCCATTCAATGAACATTTACTTAAAAATCATCATGCTTTTGCCAATAATCGGTATGAAACATTAATTTTATTCATACAATTAAAAACAAGTGATCTTTTGTTTTTTTTAGTTATGGTGATTTAACATTTTGTGAACAAATTGAAGATGATTATAATAATCAAGGTCATGCATTATTTTTGGTTTAATAATAAAAGTATGATAATAATCTTTACAAAAACTGAACTAAATATTATTTTTATCCTTTAATGTTATCATGCATTACCATCGTATTTAAAATTTAATGAATAATTTAATTCTTTGTTCAAAAATTTCTGATCGAAAAAGTGCTGGAAAATTTGGTATATCAATATATAGTCATCCATTTACATTAAATAGTGATTTATTATCTCAACAATCACTTGAATCACATATATCAGATTTTGGTATTGCAATCACTATTTTATGTACATATACATTTATATCAGCTGCTGTTATTCTTTATCTTGCTCGAGAATATGTGACATCAGAGAAATGTTTAATATTTATTTGTGGAGTAAAACCATTAGGTAAAAAATAATGTTTTTTTTTCTTTCAATAATTAAATGAAAAATAATTTTGTTTATTGGTTATCAACATTTATTTGAGATTTAGTTTATTATTTAGTTTTAATCAGTTTAACAATGGCTTTAATTAAAATATTTAATATTTCAGCATTTAATTCACCTGTTATGATAACTCAAGCAATATTTTAATTATTGTTTCTATATGGTTGGTCATCAATACCATTAGTTTATTGTCTTGTTCGATGTTTCAAAAATACAGGTACATCATTTATGGCTGCATTTTGTCTTTGATTGTTTTCGGGAATGATAAAATATATAGCAGATTTAATGTTAACATTATATTTATGGGTGTCTGGTATAGTACGTATTCAATCGATTTTATCACGTATTTTTCTCTTATTTCTACCTTATTGCCTTGGTTCTGGTCTTGTTCATTTAATGCATAATGAATTAATGGCTGATTCTGATCCAACAATGAATACTAATCTTTATGTAAATCCATTTTCAATGACACTTATTGATGATAGATTTCTAGCAATGCTTCTAATTGGTTTTATTGCATTAATTATCACATATATACTTAATTTAGATATTCGATTACCAAATTGTTTTTACAAAGTAAAAGAAGAACCAGAAAATTTTGAAAATAAAAAGAAAACTTTTTATTTGTTATAGATTTCACCACCAGAAACATCTATTGATAGAGATGTTATGGAAGAACGACATCGAATTTTATATTCGAATGAAATAAATCATGATATATTAGAAGCAAAAAATTTAACAAAATGTTTTCGTCGTGTAACTGGTTAGTCATTATTAGCAGTTGATCATTTATGTTTTGGAGTATCTAAAGGTCAATGTTTTGGTTTATTTGGAATAAATGGAGCGGTAAGTAGAATTTTATTATTGAAAACTTTCCAATAGTTTTGTTTTTTTTCAATAGGGTAAAACAACAACATTTAAAATGATCACCGGCAATTTAGTTTTGAAAGTTTTTTTGTGATATTTATTGATATATTTGTCATGGGTGATATTCATCCAACAAGTGGTGATTGTCTTTTATACGAAAAACACATTCGTAAACAAGCTCGTGAACATCCTGGTACAATTGATTATTGTCCACAATTTGATGTTGTTGATCGGTATTTAACAAGTCGTAAAGCACTTATGTGTTATGCGAAATCAATTGGTATAACAGATCGTGAACATGTTATGAATTTAACATTAAGAAAATTTCATATGGAATCATTTGCTAATCGAGTTTTACGAACATATAGTGGAGGAATGAGAAGGTATGATAACAAAGAAATGATTTTTAAACTAAAGAAAAATTTTTTCCAGAAAATTATCAGTAGTTGTTGCAATGTTAGGACAACCAGATTTCATTTTACTGGTAAGTTGAATGAGTTTTTAATACATAAAAAAAAATACGACTCAATTTATTCGTATTTTAGGATGAACTAACAAATGAAATGAATAAATAAACAATTTCACTAATAAAAAAAACACAAATTTATTTGATTTAGATCCTGGAAATCGTCGAATTGTTTGGAATAATTTTAATCAAAGCTAAAAAAACAAGATAGAGCAATTATATTAACATCACAGTTCAATGGCGGAACAGTGTCGATCTTGCGGTTTGCACAAAAGTATTTCTTCGTTTTGGTTTTTATTACAAAACAAATGTTTGATTTCTTATTATATAGATCAACGTTTAATAACAGCTTCTAATAAACAAACAATTAACATCTATACTATTTTTACTTAAATAAATATTAAAAAGAATTTATTATTTTTTTCTAGTTGTTATTATGTTATTTTATTTTTCTTTTTGGTAAAAAAAAATATTTTTTTTTGCTTATATTATAATACAAGTTATTTTTTTTCTTTTTTTATCAGTTTTTTTTGTCGATATTCAGCACTTCCTTTTTGTCGTACACCAACTAAACCTTCATCAATAGCAGCTTTAACATTTTCAAGAATCATTATTGATTCATTTAATTCACCACGAGCTGATGTTACTTGTTGAATTACACCACGAGCATACAATGGGTTATTTGATTTCAATCTGAATTTTAAAAAAAAAAAGAGCACTTGATTTCAAATTGAAATAAGGGACTAAGGGGACTAAGAAATTCTTTAAATTCAGAATTCAAGAATTCTTTGGTACCTTGTCTCCTCTTCCTTATAAAAACGGGGACTAAGGGGACTAAGGGGACTAAGGGGACTAAGGGGACTAAGTTTTGTTGAAAAATTTTATTTTTCTT